GATTCTGATCAGTCTAGTGTAAGTCTTTTTTCACTCCTTTTTGTGTTGATCGACTACAAGACCATTACATAATGAAAGCTTTCACTACGTTTTTCTTAACTAAGAAGAAAAAAAACAAAAGTCTTTTAGATTTCTTCTAAATGCAAATAGTTCAACCACGTGTAATAGACATGTTCGAACACCACTTGAAAGAAAGTGTTAAATATCTTTCATCACATTTTACCAACCACCCTGATCTATATATATTTGAAAATGTTTGCCCTATCGTTATCCTCTCTCTTGGTTATTAAAGGTCTTTTCATTCTCTTTGTTTTCCTCATCCTTTCCCTGCTAGTGATATATATAATTATTTCCCACTTCATTATTTCTCTCCTAATATAAAAATCTGTTTACTTTGCCACTGTATATAAAAATAATTCAGTTTGTAAATTGCTATATGCTGTTTCAACTGACCTTAACCTTTCTTAATAGCTGTGTTATAATGAACATGTGGATTCCATTGTGAAATTTTCGATTGAATATATTTACAACTTACAAATTTTCTTTTATTCATTACAGTCGAATGAAACTAGTGTAATTATTGTTTGAAATTTCTTTCCCGTAAAAATAATATCAAAGTTACTTTGATATATTTTAATTTAGAGAAATATTTTTTTGGTTAATTTCTCCGTACAATCCAAGTATCTCTATGTTTAAAATTTATTATCTAAGATATTGGAGTACTAAATGTTTTAAGCCTTATTTATTATGCACTGTTGTAGGCTTTCATTAAATATGTGCATTTACAGCCTTCTTGAATTCACATCATTCTATTTCCATCAGTTAAATATTTTAATGTTATTAAGTTTTCAACTCATTATTGTTAGGATTAAACTGTATTTACTGTTCGGCTGTTACTGCACTTACAATCGCTAAGTTGGTTTTAAAATCTAATCTTTTTACTCTTATATTGATAGTTGATCAGTATCATTAACGATTACACATATACATGCATACAAAATGAAGCTATTTATTCATAGTAATAACCATGAGATTATTCTAAGTAGCTAGTGAAGAACTTCATGGTTTCCTAACTGTTCCCATGTCTGCACTAATCATTGAAATTGGGTTTTTTGTTGGCTTAAACGTAATTCTCTCACAATAGTAACTTTACAACTACAGTTAAAACTGAAATAGTTTATCGATTATTAATCGTTTTCATGATAATCGTTCGCATACATTCCCTAGTATATACTACTATTCGATTATAAGTATGTTGAATATTCTGTCAATTTTACCACGTATAGATAGACAATAATTATATAATATCTGTAATTCATCTATTTCATGTTAATTAGTAGTTTGTAAATCCTAATAAACAGTTCATTTGTTCTACTACATTACTTATAACGAGTTGTTTTTTTGTTTACAATTAATTATTCTTAGTCTGTTTAATGTAGACTTTATTTTTCACACCACACTTACAAATAGAATGTTTTTTCTTACCAAAAATCTTAATCCTCCTTTTTTTCATGTATATATATGTTTCAGGGTATCACGTATAAAGATTTTTCTGATTTCAGTCATTTACTTCGATCTATTGCTGATGTGGATACTGCTTTAACATTTTATCATATGGCTGGGGCATCAATTAATCAAGATACTTTAAATCATGTTGCTTCAACTGTCGCCAATCTTCACTTGTCACCACATGTTTTAGACGTTGTGTTCACTTTATTCGATGAGAATAGTAAGTCAGTGAATTTCGTGTACATTTTGTCAAATATCTATTTCAGTAGTTTGTTTATTAGATCTCTAAACAATACATAGGGTTTTTTTAATAGTAACAAGATAATATGCTTATTCAAATTAAAATCAGTAGTTTGTGGACGTAAATATAACCGTATATCAATTAATGAAGTATGATTTTTCCCGAGTTTCTATATTCTAGACGTACTGGAAGTGGACCTTCCTTACCTATCTACATTTCCCATATAACTCCGATTTTCAAAGACTGCCTTAATTTTTTAGTCTTTTGATGTTGTCGAGTTCCTTGAGCTAAATGGTTTAATTGCAAATTTCTTATTGTTCTAAACAGTATCACCATTGTTTACTCTATTTAGAAGTAAGCTTCTTACTTATTTCATAGGTCCTAAATCAGTTTGTTTTAGTGGGCTTGTCTATGATTGATCGTCTTCATAAATTTCATTACCTTCACTTATCCTTATGTGGTGTGGGTTACTTATATCCACATAAGTAGTATATAACGGTGGTCAGGCACAGAATGTATTTCAGTAGATCGATAAGGAAAGAATGGAAACGGAACGCAATCGGTATGAAAATGCATGAACAATCGAATCGGAGACAATGGACTGATATTTGCAAAAGGAACAGTCAAGTTTGAGACGAAAGATTGATATTTTGCAAATTAACTATTTACTATACGGTTCTCAGATTTTAGTGAGATGCTCTGTAATTTTGTGGTCTAATGCATTCGATTTTCTCCACTCGTGTTTTTGTTCACTAGAATTGTACTTAGGTTGACTTTCTTGTGCTGTTGACCTGTAATCATGTTCCCGACTAACCTTTGTCAAACAGGCTGATAGGGTGGGTTTAAACAATTTTTTCTATTGATTACTCAATGAGTTGAATGCTATGCTTCCAGAAATTCATTGGCATTATTAGAGTTTCCTCAGTCTATGATCTTCACGTTTTGCTATTCATATTTTTGTCTATAGTTATTTCTACGCATTGATATCAGTGGTAATATATCATATAGTTTTACTGATAGTTTGTGTTTGTGTATGCGTAACTGAAGAAGGCATCCACTTTGTCCAATATAATATTTATCACAGTTGATTCAATTTATTTTGTTAATTATCTCACATTTGTTTTCTCTCATTGTTGTGTCTTTTTTCTGTATAAAATGGGAGTGAATTAACGATAGAGCAATATTAATTCCAAAAGGTTGAGAAATTCTTGTGTGAATCTTCATCATTTTTAAATCGGTTTGAATAACGTCCATTCGATTGCGAAATATTTTCCATTACTCTACAGTTTTTCGTCTATTTTTCTGTTATTTTCGTTAATATTTTAGATGATGGACAATTAAGTTATCGTGAATTTGTTGGTGTTATGCGACATAGACTCTTACGCGGTTTGGATAAACCTATGGATACAGGTTTTATTCGATTACTTAGTGCTGTATTTCATTGTACTAAAGAACAAATCAATCTTGGAATTAGTTCTACTTATAAAGGTGTTTGAAGAGTTGACTAGTTTACTTGTGAGAATTCACAGTCATATGTCACAGGATGAATAAAAAAGAGTTTGATGTGGGATTACTTATCTACTTATTTCCTTTGTTTCTTCTAAATAAATCATGCTTTATGCTGTTCAATTAAACTTGACGGTATCGTTTATGTATATGTTCCTCTTCACATTTCCACACTCTTACATGGATATTAAAGTTGATATTACAAAAAGCATTATCGTTGTACTACATTACTTTTCGAATTAAAATGTTTAATAATAATATGAGTTCTGTTTTTTCCCAAAATTTTATTTCTATGAATATATATTGTTTTTTATTTCTATCTGAGTTTGTGTCTTTTCGAACAGGTAACATATTGTTTTAACTTGATAAACCCAGTTAGATTTTCAGATAATTAGTTTTTTTAATTAATTTGTTTGGATGTATCACGAGTGCTTTCAAATTACTTTAGGGTATTTGTGAAGATTGTTGAATTTCAATTCTTACACCACTGATTAATCTTATACAGCCATTGAAAAACCAGGAAGCACTGAATACCTGCTTTATTTCAATATGAGACCTAAGTGGTGCTCATCCACAATCTTGTGGTATCGAACTCAGGATCTTCAGATCACACAGCGAGTGCTCAACCTTCAGATCACTAAGGAAGCTTACATGTCTAATTTGAGCTTCCCCCGTGAGACCTTAAGGATCTGGGTTTTGGTCTGCAGTGGGGTCGTGAACATTCACGACTGAAAGGTTTCGTTTCAAAACAAAACAGCTGCCTCATGGTTTTTCCATAGTTGTTTAACTAAGATCCATGCGGGATATAAACTAAGAATACTTTCACGTAATATTATTTGTTTATCACCTGCGATATTTAAATTAGTAAATGCTTAATTTCGTGAATTGTCTCTTGAACATCGCTAGATGTTAATAAAAAATTATCTTATATACACTATACTCGAAGGTTATGCTTGAATGAAGTTTTTTTTGTAATGTTCATATAGAATTTTGTTTTGAAATCTCAAAAGGTTGATTTCGCATATTCAAATATATAAACTCCCTGCTCGTTCGTATGGCAGCATAAATTATAATTCTCTAACACTACATGTTTTTTGACTTTTTCAAAGCTCAAATTTTTATTTATTGGGTAACTCACCATTACATCTTAGATATTTTTTTACTTAGATCCATGAGGAAGGTATATGCATAAAATCGAGAGGTACATACTCGTTCACAGGTACTCGAACCATAACCGTATGCTGTACCATCTAATCTTTCTTAAAATAAAACCGGCTAGTTGGATACCGCATCTGTCTCTTGCTGTAGCCTTAATGTATGTTATTTAAGGCTTATCGAATTTTCACATACCTCCAACTCTTACCTTATCAAAATCCACGTTAGCTAAGTCTTCCTATTTAGTATCGGGGACGAGTCTACTGGATGCATCAGTATTTTAGTTGATAGCGCTCAGTCAACACTACAAATTAGAAAATATAAAATTAGGTACTCTATAGTCATATTGATCGATTCAGATCTTTTTTTAATGCTCCTTCAGTTATACTCTACAGTAAATTGTTATCGGATAAGTCAATGCACCGATAAATAACTATTAAATACAGTTATTTATCTACCGTATTTTATACCCCCTTTATTGCTATAATATGTTCGGCATTCCGAATAATTTTCATATTGCCATTTTCTGTTTTTTTCTTGAAATAACTCATAATAACTCGTTTTCGCGGTGGTTGTTTTTTAGTAAGGAATGGCTCCAAGAACTTTCCGGTGGTCAAAACGAGATTGTTTATCACCTGATACTGAGACAATTAATTTGGTTGCTCTTGTATTCGAAGATTCTGAATTGTTTGAGGCGGAAGCAGCTGAATTAAGTGTTGACGAGTCAGACGATTCTTTTTCTCTACTTATTCGTAATGATAGTTTATTCGGTGAAATCAATCCAGAAGAATACAGTACATTACCTAGAAGCCATCATTCAAATTTATCTGCGCATAGTTTGGCGACAACTTCAATTGTAACGCCAACTCATCATGCACAAACAATAGAATTTAATTTGATTTCTACCTCACAATTTGAATCATCTGGATCAAACTCTAATGATCATAAATCACATTCCCCTTCAAGTTTCATTGATGTTGGTCGAATTCATGATTTTCTTTCTACATTGCCTGTTCATGTTTTAAGTATCAGTACCAGTTTCCCTTGGTAATTCTATTTATGTTTAATCTATTATCAAACAAAGCTTTTTGAAGTTATCTCTTTCCCAAATATTCTACCGTCGCTGCTACCTTGACGTGGTGATCGGACTTGCCTATAGTGATGAACTAATCGAGATAAACTGGCTGGAACAATCGTTCCTCAAGGTCCTACCATGCCAGACAAGTCGGTTTAAGAATGGTAAGACTAAAGGCAGCAAACATAACAGTGATGGTGACTTCCCGCCAAGAAGGGTGGGTTAGAAAAAGTCAACCCTAAGAATGCATATCTCGCCTTATCCCACGGATATTCATCTCCGGCGGTAAAGTCTTAAAACATACGGAGCTAACACGAAAATTACTCACAGCGAAGTCGTGTGTGACCGGCCTCAAGCAGTTGTCCCTTGAGTACTGTGGTCACGCTCTCATGTCACCAAAACCACCTCCAACCCAATTTCCTTTTCAGGTATCTCTAGAAGAACCCTTCCACAGTGTGGACAATTGGGAAGTAGTAACTGCCCTCATACCTCTGACAGCACTCAAGATCACTATTAATAATCAGTTTCCCTCTTTAACTCCTATTACCCCCCGTACCTTGACTATCAACTTCATCGATTCACATTTCACCATGGCCAACGATTCTAGTGTGCGAAACACTGTCTCAGGTCTACTGAAATCTCGCTCCGAACTACACATTGCAGCCTCGACTGTACGGCCAGCAGACCTCCTTGGCCAAGACCCTGGTATCTCGTACCATTGATGCGCGCTGTCTCCGAAACACTCATGCAGGATCCTAGTGTGGTCATTCACTTAACCTCACGAAACCAAGACGGGGAGCCGAAAAGATATACCCTCCGTTTACTTAGTGACCCTACGTCAAGTTCTCGTGGGCTGACAGGTTTAGTCATAGCACTAAGTATGGGTGCAAGGCAAGCACTTTTAGAATGGTTCCCTGTTGACAGTCGCTTATATGTTGTTCGGCACATGTCGTTGCCTTTTCGTCGTTTCTGCCTACGCTCCCACTGACTGCAGCCCGGATAAAGTGAAAGATGAATTTTACAGAAAGCTTTCTGAACTTCTTCAGAAAGCTAAACACTCAGACATAGTACTCGTATCAGATGACTTTAATGCACAGGTAAGTAGCACAAACTAAGCTGGAAGACATTTAGATGAGTATTTTAAAACTCCGGTTCAGCGAACAGATAATGGTGATCGCCTGCTGCAACTGTTCTCAGACAATCGTTCATTTTTAGCAAACACTAATTTTCAGCATAAGGAGAGATATCGTGTAACATGGCGACCCCCTGCACCAAGCCAACGATGGACTCAAATAGACCATATTGCCATCAGTCATCGTTGGAGAGGCTCGACAGAAGATTGTCGCTCGTTCTGGAATACCTGCTTGGACTCCGATCATGCTTTAATACGAGCACGCATCTGCTTGCGCCTCACTGGATGCAGAAAAGCCACACTAAGAAGACTCATTCGAGTTTAACTCAGTGACGACAAAGCCAATAGTAGATTCCAAGAACAACTGAGGTCAGACTTAAGCACTTCTGAAAACGAGGCTGGTTCACATGTTGCTTTGAAAGGTATACAAACAGCTGTGGAAACAGCAGTGACATGTGTTAATGATTTAAGCCACAGGGTTACAAAAAACACTGGATATCTTCTAAGTCTATTGCACTGATGGATTCTCGTAAACTCACCCCATCGGGCTCTGAAAAAAAGTATAAGGAACGACCGCGAGCAGTGATAAGCAACGAAAGCAAAATAGATGGAAAAGGCGGCGGCTGTATGTAGCACCAGACAGCTTTTCAGACTAATAGAAGAAACTGGAATTAAAAAGTCAATGGTAAGCGAGACTATCTCGGAAAAAGACGACACTTATCTGTTCTCAGCCCAGACGTTTCGAACGATAGGCGGAACACTTTAAGGGGCAGTTCAGCTGGCCTTCAGTTACTCTAAAACTACCCACCATTCCCAAACGACCTGAATGGAACATTGAAGTAGGTCTCAAGACTCTAGCTGAAGTCCAAAAGGCTATAGATAATCTGAGACGAAGAAGAGCGGCTGGTCTATATGGATTAACTCCAGATGTCTTTAAGAATGGTGGTCCAGTTTCAGCGATTAGATTAGTTAATATTTTAGCTAAAATCTGGGAGTTAGACGTAATTCCATCTGACTGGTCACAATCACTAATTGTCCCAATATATAAGAAGGGGTCAAAATCATCCTAAGATAGCCATAGATGGATTAGTTTGACTAACATATTATCTAAAATTCTAGCCTCAAATAATTACCGGTCGCCTAACAAAGACTAGTGAACTGCAAACATGAGAAAATCAGACTGGCTTCAGACCTGGTCGTAGCTGCATCGACAGCATATTCATCATTCGTCAGACTTCAGGACAAGACAATGGTGGTCTTTCTTGACCTGAAAGCAGTATTTGAAGTAGTCGAACGCGTTGACAACCTCACTTTGAAGTCTGATCAGCCATTATGGGTTGATGTCTGACGAAATTTCGGCATAGATTCGAAAAGCTCGTTTGGCTATTGCCAACTTACGTCACCTATGTCGAAGGCGAGATATCCTTTTATCAATTAAAGAACGGGTATAATGCGCAGCAGTTCTTTCCGTTCTACTTTAAGGCTGCGAAGCGTGACCATTAAGGGTAGAGGATACTCGTAAGTTACTAGTGGTTGACCACAGATGCCTTATAAATATTGCTGGGATCACTGGGTAAGTAATAGTAAGGTTAGACACAGCGTATTAGGGAATGATGATGAATCAGTTGATGAGGTTGTGAATCTTCATTGACTGAGATGGTTGGGCCACGTGTTGCGTATGCCTGAACACCGATTACCACGACGTGTAATGCTAACCGGTGTTGGGGATGGTTGGGAGAAAGTTAGGGTCGGCCAAACCAAAATGGGGCATCAGTGCTTGGAGTCACCAACTTCTGGTCTGAGCCATGTTTGTAGATGGATACGACTTGGTTGTGGTCCACGTGACTATCGTAACCAATGGTTGGAGACTGTGGGTGACATGGCTTAGAATCGATCACAATGGCGTCGTAGGTGTACATACTTTCTGTGTTCCTGTTACCTGTGAAATTAAAATTGCTCAATGCCTTTCTTTGTACGAACTAATTCTTTCTCCCTGTATCATGTCCTTATATGCAATATTTTTATATATTACTACCATTGAAGTAACTACTATGAATTTGGTGTTCATCTTGTTGTGTTAATGAGGCATGATAACTTGGACCGATGCATATATGTTCCTGGTCCTACGTTGTATCTGAATGACTGACTGACAAATATTTTCCTCAAGCTAATTACTTTATGGGTTCCTCAGGTCAACTATTAAAGTGACTCTTAAATTGATTTGATTTCCTCAACATATGTAGTCTGTTGTTGTTCCCTTTTTAGGATTTACTGTTATTTACAAAAGTATTTATGAAATATCTAATAGATTACTAAATTGGAAAAAAAGTCGGTTTAAATAGTTGGCTAACTATTTGAAATTGAACACTCGCGTTTTACCCTGTTTTTAAGAGTATCTGTTTCATTTACTTATGTCATTTCTCCAATACGAACTTCAGATTACTGGGATAGTTTGAAGCCCGTGTAACTAGGCTGTTATTGTGAGAGCAGTTGTTTCGTCTAGCTTTATTATCAGTATTCTCGCCTATGTTACCTGTAGGACCAGTGACCTATTTTGACAGTGACACAGGGATCAACAAACAATAACCGAGACCTTAACATCTGTTGATCCACAAGTTCTTTGGAACCTAGTATCTAATCAAAAGGCAGAAGTCTTTTAATTGCATTCTGTTCATCCATAACTTGAAGCTTGTGTGATAATATAGGTTAAATATTTGACTTCACCGTAACACAAATATGGAATTTCAATGCTTATACAAATCAGTCGTAAAGGATGCAAAAACGGAAACATATGAGAATAATTAAATAACGATTAGTCCGAGATAGTATAACACATGACAACAGTCTATCAATCAAACGAAAGCTTACAAATAGGAGAATATTGGACCACAATAATTTAAGAATCCGTCTGATAGTTCTGAAATTTTAACTTCGCCCAAATCCTCTTCGATATGACAACATACATGTTAATCATTGTTGTTTCCGATGTGATTCAAAGTCAAATTCTTTAATTCAAATCTATATAGCGTTGTTAAGTGAATTACTCAGGCTATAAGATAATTACATCTTGTTCAATTGGTATTAGTTGTTGACAAAGCCTATTTTTAACTGGTGTTAATTTATAAATTTTCACGAGATTACCAATTCTCGTTTTATATTTTCCAAAGTTTCCACTTAAATGTCGCTACCTTTAAGAAATTTACGCATATTATTGGTTTGTGTGAGAACTCAAAGGTATTCTTACTTATTCTTATCATAATAATGAATATTGATGTTCAATGTGTATAGTGTTTACTGTCAAACCAGAATGAATTTCATATGAATTGATGATTAATTTCTAGTCAATAGGTATTTTATTAATTGCCCCTTAGATATATTTTTCAAAATTCTATATAGATTTTCATATTATTAGTCAATGTTTTAGTGTTTGGTTAGCCGGCTCGGACCTTACTCCACATGCTTTGTTTTGAACAACCATGATGTAGTATCAGTAGGCATCACGTAAACTTTAACTTAAGTTCAAGAAAATAAGAGTTTTTAGTTATTGACTTCCGTTTACTCTTAATCTAATCAACATATCTGTTAGTAAAAGATTTCACTTGGTCATTCTCGTTTCTATTCAGGACCTTTATTATTAACGTAAACCGAATGAATTTTGTTTTCTTTTTTCATATAGTTCACCTTCTTCATGGCCGTGGCATTTACTTGCTTACACTGATTTTCCAGCTTTTGTGCATGCTATTACTTCTGATTTAAACTGTTTCTGGAATTTATTCAATGGAAATGCGAGTAAACATTCAAATTTTGTTGATGTTATCCCATGTGATTCAGCTTTTGACTTGACAACTTGTAATTTAACATGTCAAGCTGAAGTTGAACTAGTTAAATGTGATGATACATTTATCCAAACTAATTATCAAATGAAGTGTATAAATCCGTCAACCTCAACACCGAGAAATGAAAAAGACAGTGCAATAGTTACCCATAAATGTCTTCAAACTAGTCAAAAGGTGAGTATTCTGCATAAATGCTTTCTGTTTAATCAATTGGTCCGTGTTTTCACTTTATTTAGAGAAACAAAGTTTTAATTAGTTTTCGATTTCCATCCTTTCTCAGTCTTTTAATTGATGGTGTCGGAATAAGTGCCTAATTTGTAGATATCATTTTTACCTGCTGATTCGCATTATAAGTAACTTTATATATATCACATTAGCTGATATTGGATTCTAATTGGGACCATGAATCGATCAGTTTTAGACCATCGTTAAAAACCTGGAGGCACTGGATGGCCGTTTCGCACGAGTATGGGGCTCCTCGGCTGTGTGCATCCACGATCTCACCTCACGAGACTCGGACCTAGGACCTATCAGTCTCGCGCGCGAACGCCTAACCACTAGACCATTGAGCCGGCATCCAACGGTATGAATGTCTAGATTCAACCAATCCACAAAGTTACGCTACCATTGTCATCAGTGAGCTACTATCTCGCAACAGACTCGGTTGAACCCCACTAGTCACGGATTCTCACTAGAACTCCGAGAATTACCTCTCGTAACTAGTTACTAGTAAGCACATGATTATTATCAATATCGGTTCATAATCTTAAGCTCAACAATCTCCACAACTTTATAATGGTGTTATTGAGTTATAGTAAACTAGTGAACAGTGGAAATTTGTTTGAGGTTGGTTTTAATACCCTTCACTGTAAAATGTTTTTCTTTTAAACTTTATTTTAAAAAAATGAATTTATTATAACTCCAGTGAAAATAATTCGTAAACTAATATTAATAAAAATTAATATTGAAAGATTTTCTATTTAAATTAATGATAAAGTTATCGTGTTTCATGGAAATAAACAAGTGTTCAAGTGTAAAGTGTAGTTATGTTGTTAAATACAATAGGAAAATCTGTTATTTTTCAAATATAAATTAATGTAAATAATTTCATATGATCGTACCATAAATCATCAATCATAATTATACCAGTAAAACAACATGTGATACTGTTACTTTTAGAATAGATAAGAACAACAAGTTTTCATCTTAAATTCATATTTTGACCATTATGTTAATATCGTACTTGAAAATGAAAAAGAAAGTATGCCGCTGAAAAATGAATAAATAATAATACTATTAATAATGAATGATCATAATAATAATGACTATGTTTTCATGAAAAGTACATATAGAGTATATGATTAGAAAAACATCAGTAAAATATGTTGTCTTCAGTTAGATTTTCATTAGGCTTTGGTTTAATATACAGTAACACTGGCATATGAATATATAAATATTATTAAACCAATAATGGCAGTTTATCAGTTAACGATAATATTGAAATAGATTATTCAACTAAACATAATAAGTAAAAAGTTATACACAGATTTTATGATGTTAAGTATACTAATTGTGATAAGAATAATCACACTATGAACAAATATCTCAATGTAGAGAGGGAGATAAGATGTATGCAAACACACACAGTACAAATTATTAAAATTACTTAAGAAGAAGTGTGCAATCAGTTATCACATTCGATACATACTTACTGAGTCGCTTTTATTTAATTATTATCTCTAGTTTTTCAGTTGTAAACAGTGATTTGAAAAAATTGTTTAATGTACCCGAACCGGACAGGTATTACCGGTTCACTGGATGACCCTCGTGTTAGGCAGCTAATTGATTAAAGCTGAGATTTCATATCACTGAGTGTTAACCCTCTCATCTAGTTTCGAGTTTAATCTGTGGTAAGGTAAGGTGGTCGATAAGGTATCTCATACTAGGATATCATAACCGTTTAGTGCTTTCTGGTCCTCAAAAGTACCCAAGAGTAACCATTGACATATATAAATCCCAAATACTGACACATCACTTGACTACTGATTAACATACAGGTATTTCCCCATAATCCTTGATGTTAAATGTTGGTTTCCAACGAAAAATATATTCCTTAGTACTTTATAGAGTACTAATAGATTTTAAAAAATTCTTCCATACCTTAACTATAGATATAACAATATTTTCAATTTTTAATATTTTTATTTTTTCAGTTAGTCCCATTTTTCTGTGTTGGAGACCAACTTAAAATCAGTGATGAAATGAATATTGTCTTATTTCCTTTATCCGGTTTTCATCCAAATCTGTTAAATGATAGTCAGTTATGCCATTCCACCTTTACAGCTGTCTACCTACTCCTCATTAATGATGATTCCAAACCTGAAATTAATACCAGTGGGGATATATCTAATCTAAGTACCAATCACGTACAGAACACTGAAGGGTCCTGTGATTATGGCCTTATAGACGATACTTTTTCTGATAAAAATGATCAGCTACACAATACACCTATCGTTCTTGCACTTCTAGTTCAAATTTTACCATCAAAACAGCTTACTTGTCCGATTACAGTTAACCATAAGTTATGTCCATTTCCTATGGTATCTGATTTAAAGTTATTTAATGGTCAAAAGTTTACTGTTCTTTTGGCTGTAGTCGATTTGTTAATTAGTAAGAATGGTAAGTTGTTTATTTATATAGTTATTTATTTCATTGTTTTGTCTAAATTGCTTTTTTCTCGTATGTCGAATTACTTATCGTAACTCTATTTCCATGTCGATTAAAATAAATCCGTCATATTTTTAAGATTACTCCACACTCTACCATGTAGTTGGTCAGAAATTTGCTGGTCAGAATGTAACTGTACTTTTAATTATATCTTGGATTCTTTATAAAAAAAACGTATCTTTCTAATCCTTAAAGTATCTCTGAAGGCTACCAGTCTTTCTTTAATTTGACATTTTTTTCTTAACACTATTTCAGCAGCTAAAATTAGCTTATTGAGAACATGTAATGATTTATATCTGTCGTTATGTATTAACTGAGGGTCGTATAATATATGTTGCAAAGCGAATTTTATTTCACGTACATGGCTGGAAGATACAATTGAAATCAGATGTTCTAATGTTAGTTTATTCCAATGTATGGATTAGCTATTTAACCTCTCAATTAAAACTCTCTAGATCAGGCGCAGAACTTTTTCATTTACTTCAATCTAGGGAGTATTGTAGCTTTGCCAAACAAATGACAAATTGATTACCTCTAAAAGTACACTTTTAGATTTCTCATTAAAATCCGTCAGATTCTGTAACAGCGTCTATTAAAACTAAGATGAAGAGAGTATGAATTTATAAGACTCCGTTTGTTACTCATTGAGTAAATTTTGTTGATGACTTGGGATTTATATAGAAAGCTAATTTCTTTAGATATTTGAACAAATTAGCCTGCGTTTATTTGTTGAATTGAATTTTTAGCATGTTAATCTTTATTGTTATCCCTAAATTTTTATTCTCTCCATTTGTTTTACTAGACAATGATGAATTTCAGTTACACGGTGTCTTGCATCAACGTTTAAATTATTTGTCTGACTTCAAATTTGAACTTTTTCTCCACAACCAACCATAGACTCATCCTCATTTTTGAAAAACCATGACGGCATTTGTTCTTACTATGAATGTGCAATATTCACCTGACCATGACATTTTACGATATTTATTATGTTTTCATCTTTGTTTTTATGCCTTTGTTTTTTTGTTTTCTTTTATGCATTTTAGTCCTTTGTTACGTCACTTGTCTTATTTCAATTGATTGTATCTCATTTCTCTTGGAATATTATTACACAGTTAAATAACTAGCGTTCTTTTTTCAAAAAGGCGTTTATTAATTTTCTATTGTTCCCGGGTTATTTTGAATGTGTTTTCCAACAACTCATGCTAGTACACCGAAGGATGCTTCAACGACATGTTGTACACTAGTTAAAATTATTCAGATGCCCATTGATTCCTTATTGGCTTTCTATGTTCAAGACACCTAATATTTTTTGTGTGGTTCGCCAGCCGATATTTTGATGGAAAGTAGCAATAGAATCCATCATTACTATGCACCCTGTGTTTGAAACTAACGTTCATGTGGTAGGTATATTTTGTTGACTACTTGACCATACGTTACTGATGAAATAAGGCGATGCATCCAGAATTCCGTAACACTTTCCAACCGCGTGAATGTTGTAGTGAAACTTCTCATTGGGTTCGCTTTAACTGGATTAGTTGACATGTTGACACCATATATTTTTTGTGACCTGATATCTGACTCCAGTAATATCGTATGATTGTTAATGAAATACACTTGTCGGCTATCTTCGTACAATTCATCGATTTAAATCGCGTTGGGATGTTCCCATCCTGGTCTGTCTTTTAAGGATGATAGGCAACAGATTCGACATATGAAACATGCCGTGTCGTTGTAAAGGTATCGTGGCTTTGAAACGCTTATAGCAATTGTTTGCTGCTACTGAAAAAAACATTAAGCATTCACAAGTTGAATGGATATATGTCGTGATATTACACTTTCTATGCTGTTAATGTCGTTTTGAAAAATCACGAGCTCATCTTAATCCTTGAGATAATGAGGAGAAAAGAAACAATGCTCAGAGTCACTCACATCCGGTATTAACAGTGGGGTGTGGCTTCTACGTCAGCTTGGATGTCATTAGATTACCGTTCAACTCATGTAGGCTCTCATTCATTTACACAGATCGCCTACATTGGTAGTCTACACATGCATCATACAATGAAAAAATGAAGCGATAATGGTAAATTGGAAGTATCTAATACAGCAGAGGTAGTAAGGATGTCACGGACATACATTCTTTCTCAGCGCCGCGGTCTGTAATACCTTATTATCCGAAGGTTTCGAAGCCAGTCGAACAACTAGCCGGGGAAGTTTTATGTTGAAAATGCTTTATGCGTTGAGAATTACAGGCTGAATAATCATTTTGTGAGATCTGGGGCATCACGAACACAAACGGACTGAAGAGTATACTTGGTCGAGCTCCTTCAGTCAAGGTTATCCAGTCAAAATGACGACGTCAGCTTTAATGTCGAAGACTCTCAGGGCTGTTTATTTTTTGGGTTTCTTTGCCGCTACGAATGTTTCCTGCTTATTTCACGATCTTGCCCAATAAAACAATGGATACACACAATATAGTTTTATAAGTTGACCAGCACAAAATCCACGTTTTTTCTCTGGAAAGTAAAATTCTACAATCTGAAAAACTCGTCTTTCGTTCAAGGGTAGTAGTGCATAAATTAGAACCACTTGCCGTTTGTGCGACTGGATCTCGGTTAATAAAGAACTCTGAGATAACTTCAGGGCTATTAAGCTATATGCTCATAAGAGGTAATAATATTAATCGTCTCAAGGTTGTAGCGACAAATAAATCTCTAAAATCAATAGTTCTGTTGCTCTTCGGCATTCGGTGCTGACCGCATTAGTTGTAATGGACACACCTAGCTGAAGGCGCCCTGTCATGCATCTGCACCATATCACGAGTGTGCACGACGTGCTTCGTATCTCCTACAACCGCTAGACTGCTAAGATTAGTAACTCCTCGATATATCGATAGGCTATCAAATATATCTTCGAACTTCTTCCTTTCTGACTTCTGATTTGACTGGGTTTGTACACTTCGACTGTAAAGGTGTTAATGGTTAACGTGTTGTCAAACTCAGAATACTTGTAGCATCTTTAAGGTTGATGCGTTTCTGATATACACTACAAAATGTATGCGTATGCTTTCGACAAAAGTTAAAGTGAGAAAATTCCTGATTATGAATTGCCTTCAAAATACTGAAAATATAAGATGTTTCATGTGTGTTTTTGTCCCAGTATGTGTGGAAATCACCTTACACTACGTCTTATAAGTGGACGTTTCCACTCAGGCGTTGAATTAGCATATTCGACCTTCATATTTCCAAATCTGATCGTATGGAATTAGAATCATAAACTTTTCGAACGATTTTGGATCTCATGTTCATCCGTTGGTATTGTGGCGATGAATAAATACCCAGAATATATAGTTCTTTAGTCTTTTTCATTGATGCTGGCCTCACTAGTTTTACTGGAGAGATCCCAGCTGAAGGTACTCGGTCACATATCCACAACAGATCACGAGTGCGTACTCTGTGTTGTACATCCCTTGCAAATATTAGTGAGCCTGAATCAGACGCTTCTAGATACATCGATAACCTGTAAAAGATATCTCCAAACTCCATGATTTTTGAATTTTGATTGGCCTGATGTCCGATTGAAAATATTTTACGAGGGAAGTTACTACCAAACACCGAAAGTTTGTGGCATCCTTAGTATTATGTAGTTTCTCATTAGTTGCTTCAATTCTGTTTATTCGCTCACTGCACTTTAAAGGTTGTTGTTTTTACTGTTTTTGAGTATCTCTATAGAAAGTGAAGTGTGGATTTATCCGCAACGTTTCCATGTAAACCTAATGTATCACCCAGTGTAATAACCGTAATGTCTACGTTGATATAATTATGGGATTTGTCATTTTATAATGTATTTTTTATTAAATGACTAGATTATGTTGTGAATTTTGCTCTGGTTGTAAGATTTATTCGCCACGTTCGACTGTACGTACATTGCATGCTGGAATGATATCAAAAGTCCTAGTAAGTTTAATCGCATCGTTAATTTTCTTCACATAGATCGTCAGTAAATAATATTACTGAAGAAAGGTTTGTTGTGATGTAAACTATGTTTTGCGAGCGATTGACTGTTGTCTTCAGTCTCAAAACAATATCATTTGTCTTCTGTTAGGTTAGTTTGACTGGCCCATAGTTCGTGTTTTGGGTTTATCGGCTGAATTATGTACATTTAACTACTTTGAGTGATATGTCTGTGCAGATGAAACAATAATTATGGCACTTGCTTAGTTTAGTATTCTTGGTTGTCGTAAAATTCAGTTTGGTCGATAGAATTATAGTATACCTAGGTATAGTATTTGGAGCCTGTAACGAAACAGTCAGTTGATTAAGTAGAGCTGACTTTTTTAATGAGTATACTGATTGAAATCAGTCTGCTTGGAAATGTGAAAAGAGTTGCTTTTGATGCTGTTGCTGTGACACATGATAAGATAGCGATAAGTATGTTATGTGTTTATTTGTAGACTGTACATCCAGCACTGACCATACTTCAAAATCACTGTCATTAAACAATTTCTCCAGCGTTAACATCGGTAGCAGGATAGAATGTTAAAATAACTGCGGCGTTTAAGTACAATGAATCATTAAATTATGTAGCTGCACAAAAGAACAAGCTGAAAAAACACAGAACAAGGACAGCTAAACGCCATTGCTTACAAAGATGGCGGATATAGTCATTCCCGCCTCATTTTGATTGATCGCTGAGCAGACGGCCATGTTTACGAAATCGAGTTGCGTCTAAGTGCAGCCAAAGGGAATCAGTTGTCCTGTCTTTCAGAAATGAATATTGGTGTTCAGAATTTCAGTAGCTCATTTTCTGAGAGAACTGATGAGTGATGGGTTTGATATTTTGCAGCATTTTACGTTACTAACAAATTGTAGTTTGATCGTCAATATTCCTTGAGCTACAGAGTGTAGTTTTCTGCTCGGTGGAAGACATACTTTTTATTACTTAGTCAAATCAGTTTTTTTAGTACAAGTGGGATTGCATAACTTGTTGATGATGTCACAGGTATTCAGTGTTTGACAACGCTTCTACCAGTAACACCTTCTAATATATTTCGTTCCCGCCCAGAGAAATCAAAAGACAGAGTCGAGGAGATTGGAAGAGTATATTTGGCGATGACCAATATATCTGAATTCTCTGATCTAATCTGGCTAGCGATTGCGGTTGATGTTGAGCACGGCGTTACCACACGTGATCTGGTGCAGATGCCTGACCGAGCGCCTTCAGCTAGATGAGTCCACTAAAACATATGGTCAGCATCCAATGTCGAAAACTTAGTGCTATTTATTTTGGGGATTTATTTACCGCTACAGATCACTCCCCCCCTAGTGAGGCAGTGACGACCCTAAGACGTGGCCAGCCAGAAGTTTAAACCCAACGAGTTTGTCGTTGGTAAACACTCTTCTGATAGCTTACTAAATTTAGCAGCGTCTGGTCGTCTTTCCTTACTATATGGGACGGAGGTACAACATAGTAAAAAAAGAAAATGTACAATGAAAATTTCGGATCCTCGTAAACGTCATCGTTCTTTTCCAGCCGTCGTGCAATAGTCGTTTAAATGTTCTGGAAATCTCACCCTTCTTCCAGAACGCGTCGTTTTAAGTTTATTTTCGGATACTGTCGAAGTATCGTCGTGTGTGTTGGTTGTCGAATGAGGTATTATAAGTGTCGGAGTCGTGTCGTTCAATTGTACCGAAGGAAAATCGACGTGGATAGGATTTCCTTCTAAATACGCTGCTTTTAGGCGATCGATACTGATGCTATCGTTGGTTCCGTTCTTATCGACTATATAGTACTTAGGTTCACGTTGAAGAACTTTGAAGGGTCCTTCGTATGCTGATTCGAATGGTCGTCGATGCGAGTCTCGACGAACGAAAACGTGTGTACTATGTCGTAAGTCA